TCAAAGAAAGAAAGAAAGAGAAAAAGAGAAAGAGAGAGAAGGCTGAAAAGCCTATGACAGATTGCACCCAGATCATTCACATTGCTGCCGAGTAAGAACTACCCCACTTAGGAAATCCCTAGGTAATGCTCAAAGTAAGACAATCCCGAGTCAGGACAAGGTCAGAATGAGTGGAATCTTAAAGCCCCCAACTTGCAAACTGATTGTTTTGGTCAGATGGACAGAACAGAAAAGTTCTGAGTGGTGGCAAAATTTCCCGGCCAATCCACAGAAGCTACACGCCAGAGAAATCAGCATCACTCAGCTGCATGCCATGAACCATGGCTCCTATGACTCAAGATGACAGATGACAGCAAGGACAGAAAGCAGCACAGAGGGTGAGGCACTAAGGAACAGGGGGAGGACATAATACTGAACAACATCAGCAGCAGAAGAATCACCCTCTCGCCACCTCTCTCTTTTGCAGATGCCTCAGAGCTCAGTGTTGGAAAAGCAGTCTTGATCCTGCCTACCTCATCAGTACATGTACTGCCAGCCTCTGGTTCCAGGGCAAAGTGGATATGAGGGAAAAAAGAAGATGGCAATAGCAGACCTGTGGCAGTGTGAGAAGAAAAGGAAGAAGGAAGAAACACAGGAAGGAGGGAAGAAAGGAGGAATATCCCCAGTGAAATGGGGAAAGGAAAAAGGGGAAAATCCAACAGCCATTCAGCTGGACCTGCTAGTCCAGGGCAGGGATGCAGGAAACTGGAGCACATGTAAGTCAGGGGCATCAGAGACCTTCAAAAGCGTGCTGATCTCTGACAGAAAGAACCAACAACTCACTTAAAATCACTTACACTTCCTGGCCTCTCTGCAGCAGAAAACTACTTGCCCCAATGTAGTCCAACCTCACCAAATTCCCAGAAAGAACCCTTTCAGGTCAGGAGAGAAGAGAAGAAACACAAGACGGCCTTAGACAGGAGCGGTCTAAAATTTAATTCAAGGTGCTCTTCCATAGCTCAGGTTGAGAAACATTTTTACTAAAGAATTTCTCCAGGAAAAATTTCATTCCCCCAAATTATCCAACCCAACACCCATTTCACAGTGCAAGTCAAAAGCGCGAAAGGACACCTACCTTCACCAGTACATAATCCCCAGGCTGAGCTCGGACCCTGAGCCCAGAGTTAGTGACATCCTCCATCTCTGCATCAGGAAAGATCACCTTAAGGTTTCCATCATTCCGGCCGCACAGGTCAGTAGCAGAGCGTTTACTGAGCTGTGGAAAGAACAGAGGAGAGTTTATGACTCTGTCACAGTCATCAGTTCTTAGAGGATAGAAATTATGCTTTCTATGTCTCAGATCTCCATAGGTCTGATCCATAGAGCATTCCTTATCAAAGGAATCACTGAAGACTAAATGCTTTACTGCTATTTCACCAACAAGGGCAACCAATACACAGCACACAACAGAAACTCAATAAAGCTTGCTGACAATATATTAACAAATGACTCAATCAATGAGTATCATTACAGAATTACCTTCCACAGCCATGGACCTCCAAAAGGCCTGACGCCAAAGACATATGGGTGATATACTTGGCAAACTGATTCCCATTTTACACAGTCTCAAAGTAATCACTCAGGAATGTTCCAGCGTGGTCTGGCCTGGGTTTTTTTGTCCCAATGAATAGGTAGACTCAAAGCCAGAGTCTCTATCACAACAAGCATAAGATGGGGCCAGAATAATAAAACCAGTATAATGGTACTACCTTCCAGAATATACACAGGTCTTTCTCTTCCAGCTATGAGGAAGTGACAAAAACCAAATTTATCCTCAGGCCTTACATAACCAAAAACTGAACAAAATATATGAAGCACCTATTTGCAGGTACTGGAAAACAGATTGTGCAAAACTATGAGCCTCAAGAAGGGGAAAACAAGTGAGATGGGCCCTCCAATCACGCCTGCATTCTGCCAGAAGACACATGCTAGACCAGAGAACGCAACACAGGGAAGGAACTCTCAAGGCAGAGCATGGTAGTTCTCTCTGGATTGAGGAAAGATGGATCAAAGTCCAAGGAGTCTGAAACAGCTAGAAATTGTGGAGAAAGTTCTAGACAGGAGGGAGCTAAGCAGGAAAAGAGCTATAGAAATGTGTGTAGGGGTCCCTTGAATCTTTGCTGAAAAAATAACATATCCTTGTGTGGAGTGAAACACCATGAAGTCAGACAAAGAAAGAACCTGGGAAGTATCAGCTGATCAGCTCCCAGAGCTCACACAGGGCTAGGAACCATCTCACCTACCACCAAATAGTCCTCACTGATTCCTTGGGACATGCAGTAGCAACTCCAGAAGAGCCACACCTTAGTACTGAGGCTAAACTATCCCTAGAATAAAAAAACTTTTCTGACAAAGCTTAAAAACAAGACCTGAAAGGATCAAACTAAACTGCAAGCAACATAACTACCTACCAGAACAAAGACCAATGCAAAACCCAGACACTCAAAAATAAACATCACAATGTCCAACAACCCAGTCAAAAATCATGCCCAGAAGCAGAAAAATGTGACTCATAATCAAGAGAAAAGTCAATCAATAAAAACAGACCTAGAAATGATAGTAATGACGGAATTATCACAAATATATTAAACAGCTATTATAATTAAGTTTAAATACAAAACTAACTTTCAAAAGAAAACAAGAACACAGGAGAGAAGTAGATTTTTAAAAAAAAACCAAATGTATCTTAGAGATGAAAAATACCTAAAATTTTTAATTCAATAGGTAATAAACAGATGAGACACTGCCAAAGAAGAGAATGAATCTGAAGACAGAAAAATAGAAACTATTCAAAATGAAGCACAGATATAAGAAAAGATAGGAAAAAAAATGAACAGTATCAATGACCTATGACACAATATTAAGCAGCTGGACATATAGGTGATTGGAGAAGGAGAGGAGAAACAGTGGAGATGGGGGGCAAGAAGCAGGAGGAGTACAGAAAAAAATATCTGAAGAATAAATGAAAAATTTCCAAATTCAGAAAATAATAAACCCACAAACTAAGTAACCTCAACAGATCCCAAACAAAACACAAAGAAAGCCATGCCAAGGTACACCAAATTTCTAAAAAAAACAGTGATAAAATGACAACTAATGCAACATGTGATACTGAACCAGATCCTTTTCCTATGAAGGACAGTTCTGAGACAAGTGGAGAAACTTAAACGGGGTCTAAGGATCGGATGGTAGTAATCTAGGGAGATTAATTTTCTGATTCTGATGGTTGCACTAGTTACAAAAAAGAATGTCCCTGTTTGCACAAGATATACAGTACAGTATTTGGGGAATTGGGGGCATCAGGTGAGCAACTTATTCTCAAATGATTCAAAGAAAAAAGTTCTTTGTACTATAATGCAGCTTCTCCATCAGTCTGTGATTGTTCTACAACAAACTTTTTAAAAGAGTGTTCAGATTTCATGATTTGAATAAACCAACTGTAAAAGAACATTTGTAAGACCAGCAGGGAAAGTAGAACACTGACTAGATATTTAGTAATATTAAGAAACTATTGTCGGCTAATGATCCCGTATGTCAGCCAGGGGTGTTCACACAGTTGAATATTTCTCAGTGTGTCTGCCACTAGTGACTGTGTTCCCCAGGTCTCTCCAAGACCAGCAAAATTCCTGGAAAACTCAAACAGTTCATATTGGACTTACATTCTGGAAAACTGCACAGAGAATTCCATCATGGTCCTGATCCAACTGATACAGCCTCAGGACAGGAAGTGCAAGATATAGCAAGCATCCCATCTGAGAGCTCCTTTGAGAAACAAGCACCAAGCAAATGTAGGTACACTTTATTGAGCGATTAAGATAAGCTTTAAAAACTTGGAAAACAATTAACAAGCCTTTTAAACAGAAGCATCACCTTATGTGGTGGAAACAGGAAACCTACATTTTCATAGTTCTATGTGTATTTTTATTTTGAATAAACTGAAAGAAGTTTAAAAAAAAAGAAACTATTGTCAATTATTTCCAATATGATAATAGCATGTCTGTTTTTTTTAAAAAAAGAATCCTTATCTTTTAAAGATATATACTGAAATATTTACTGACAAAATAATATGGTGTCTTGTAATTGCTTCAAAACTACTCAGCAGGAGTAGTAGAGATTAAACAAGATTAGCCACAATCAACACTGTACTGAAGACTGTTGAGTATACTGATGGGTATGTGGGCATTCATATACTATTCTCTCTATATCGACATCTTTTTATTAGATTCTCCATAATTTGAAAAAAAAAAAAAGGTGGGGTGCTTACAAACTCTAGAATGAGACAGACCTGGGTCAAATTCTGGCTTTGCTACACTAGCTGTGTGACCTTGGGGAAGTTATTCTACTTCTCTGAATCTCCTTTCTCTATCTACAAAAAAGGGCTAATAACAGCATTCCCTCCAAGGACTGCTGGAATTCAATGTGCTGATGACCATAAGTACATAGTTCCTGGCAGACAGTAAATGCTCAGTGTATGTGACTTATCATCATCATCTTCTCTGCCACTATGAATACTGCAGCCCAGTGTTTTTAAACTGGCCATGACCAGAGGAAAGAAAGCTTCTTCTAAGAAAAAGTAAAGATTTCAACTGCTGGCCTTGAAAAATCCATTTATTCTCTAACCCCAAGTGAGTACTGGCTTATGTTGGATGCATTAAAAAAAAAAATCAAAAGGTTCATTCAATTACCATGGGCTCTCTGTGGGACTGATGAAGTCATGGGCAAAGATTACTAACCTTTGAGTACTTATGCATTCTGTCAAAAGACATGTACACTATTCTGCAATAGACTCTGTACGAAGAGAGCTGGGAATACAACAAAACTAATTCCTACTAGATAAAATGTGGATTCCTAATAGACATACTCATGTACAGACCTGCAGAATCACAGCTGACACTCTCAATAACAAAACATTTAGTGAGACAAACACCTTTGAGGTATTTCACCAGCTCAGCATTAGTACCTGCTGGAGCAAAACACAGGAAGATTCCTACCCCAAGCTGCGTTGATCAGGTTCCCTCTTCTGGAAATTTGAATTAGAGCTGAGAGACACAACTTTGGTCTATGAATAGTTGAAACTCTAACATAACACATAAACTACAGGGCTTCTGTACTCTGCCGTACAAATGAAGAATCAGGAAAAGCTGGTCTGAGGAAGAGAGAAGAAAGTCTGAGCCTCAGGGCCTCCCAGACTGGGTATAGTCCCTTCCAGACACCTGGCAGTATTCCTGCCCTCGGGCTCCACAAGACTCTCCTGAAGTTTTATACAAAACAGAATTCTCTTTGGCTCAGGCTGAATGGTTTGAACAAATTTCCCACTGTTATTCACAACCAGAGCCCTAAGAAACACAAATACCAAGGAAATGGTGATTTTGATGCTGCCATATCCTAAGTCATGGAGCAGGAATCTCCTTTCTCAAACCACAACTTGTGAGGGGTCACAGGAAGAGCCCTGTCTCTCCCTCTTTCCCCTCCACTGCAGTGGCTGAGGCATGCAGCTTTACAGAAGGTCAGGTTCCCAAACTCATCCCTTATCCTATGTGTTTAGCGCTCTAAATGATGGCGAGGGTCCCAGGCTTGACCACAGAAGCCTAGAGAACCACAAACTTCCTGAAGCGCAGTACATTTCTAAGTAAGTGTGATTTTTAAAAGGACTGAAAATGGACAATAAAGTTGGTTCTAAAAATATACATATGATACTGCCTCCAGAAAGACAGAGTAGAAATAATTTTTCCTAATTCTTCCACTAAATACAAAAATATGCTTCAGGAACAAAGAAGAAATCAAGACATTATAAGGTGAAGGAAAACAAAGAGAATCTGCTGCCAGAGTGTCTAAAGGAAGTTCTCAAAGCAAAAAGGAAACAATAAAAGAAGGAACCCTGGAACACCCAGAAGAAAAAATAGATGATGTGATGATAACTTACAAAGAAAATCCCAAGGAATCTACCCAAAAAATTCCTAGAACTATTGATCACAGGATACAAGATAAACTTACAAAAATCAATTATTTCTATACAGTAACAGTGAACACATGGATACTCAAAATTAAAAATACAACAGCAACTACAATAGCTAAAAACAAAACAGAATAAAACACTTGGGTGTAAATCTAACAAAACACATACAGGAGTCTGTATGCTGAAAAATTCAAAAACTGCTAAAAGAAATCAAAGATCTAAATAAAGGGAGACACACTATGCTCTAAACAAACAAATATATGTATACATATGGCCTCACCCCCTCCACCAGCACCAGCTGGGTACAACCCACAAAAGTCTTGTTGGCTTTTGTTGCTTCTTCTCGGAAGACAGTGATAAGTTCTTCCAAACGCCTTAACTTGACCTCTTCCGGGATATCATCCTTCAGTCTGTGATATGCCCGTGTCTTCTATTAAAAAAAAAAAAAGAGAGAGAGAGAGAGAGAGAGAGAGAGAGACACGGAGGTCACCAAGAACTTGTAGAATCCATTCTTGAGGCACAGAGGGGAACATGCTTATCTGATTTGCAAGTTACAGACACATGTACAGGAACTCAAGCCACACTACACGGGTTCTCTAGCTCTGGAGCCTTCTAAGAGAAAAAGGTAACTATGCAGTAGAGTCATGTTTTTGCAAGGGTTAAATTCTAAATTTAGCACATGAAAATTATAGACTCAAAACTGTTCTTGGTATTTCTATAGGACACATATACTAAATAAATCATACACCAGGTTACTCAGCACCTGTTTATAAAGACGCAAGATACAAAGCAGAGTAAATGTTTATCAGTAGGTAACCAGTAAAACGAATTAGGGTTTATTCATATGATGGAATATTAACACAGCTATGAAAAAGAATGAGATAGCTCTATATCTACTGATATCACTGCTCTCCAAAATATACTCTTAACAGAAATAAGCAAAACACAGATCAACATGTATAATAATGTTGGTGTAGAAAGAATACAAATAAACATATTTATAAATACATGAAATATCTCTGGAAGATTACAGAGGTAGTTGCTAAGAGCACCTGCCTTCAGGGAAGGAACTGAAAAACTGGGCAACCTAGGAAGAAAAAAGAGTAACTACTTTGCCCTACATACTCTTCTGACATTTTGAATTTTATACCATAACCATGTATTACCTAGTTAAAAAAAAAAAAGATATTTATCCTTGAAAAGCTTTTAAATCATCCAAAATCACAGAGTATATACATGTTTATATATATAAATATATATACACACACACGTTTATATATAAAAACGTGTGTATATACCTTTATGTACATGAGCTCATAATATATATAGTCGGAGAACCACCAAGCTAGACAAAAGTGGAAAGTCTATACACCAAAGTCTGGACATTCAAATCAATCTGCCTTTAAGGGAAATACCAAATCCAGAAGAGAATGAAGAATGGGATTCTCTTACAGGGTTTACACTATTCTGTCTTATTATTAACAACAACAACTTACCTCTATTGCATACTTACCTATTACAAAGCACTATTTTAAGTACTTTATATATATTATCTTATTTAATCCTCAAAATAACCTGATGAAGGTTGGTACTAATGTTACTCCCTTCCACAGATGAAGAAAGCAAGATCACATAGTAAGCTGGGAGAGGCACAATTTGAGTGCTTGTTCTCATCCACTACACTACTTGACTAAGCCTCTGTAATCTTAATCCTAACCTAGGAATTAGATCCCGAAGTAAACATCATATTCAATGCCCATAGGATATGTTTCCATCACATGCTGAAAACTCATTTCCCAACTCTAGCATTAAAAGGAGTATCTCTTGCATGTTTGTAATGACAATGCAAAAGAAGCAAATTGGAACACAATAGCTCCTCTGATGCTTTCTCCCTGAAACAATTCTGTAAGAGACATAAATATACACATCAGCCCACTTATACTGCCTACAGAACACCAGGCAGTAGGCTTTAAAAGACATGAATTTGCTTGGTTGATGGCAGCTGAGTGACAGTCATGGTCAATCATTCATCAGACAGCTTTCCTGAGTCCCCTGGCCACAGAGGCCCCGCAGCCTCCAGCCCAAACACAGGGCAAGCTGCTCCTGAGGTGACGGGATGAGAAGTGACCCATATAAATTCATCCCTACCATCAAGAAAATGGCAGACACCCAGGACTACCCCCTCTCTGAAGGAAACATGCATTACTCTCCCTCTCCTTCCTCATCTCCTTCTGCTTTGTTTTCCTGGGAATCTGTTACAGGAGAAACTCTAAAGTGGACATCGGTGGGTTCACTTGGCCTAGAAAACTGGAAATTAAAAACAGCTGAGGAGGGCAACAAGGGGCCTCTATAAAACAAAGCAGACCTGCAGGCCAAAAAAGAAGTTCCACATGTTAATAAATGATTTCAGGTTTCTTGTAAAGACAACAGTGTCCCTCCTTCCACATTCAAACTCTAAAAAACCTAAACATAATTTCTACTGAGGAGGAATACTGGCACAAGTAATTGTTTTTCATCTCAAATTGCTAAATTGTATAAGAATAGACAGGTTTATTAGAAACAATACAGAAATGAATGGTAAGACCCTTGTGGTTTCTCAAGGATGCCTTGCTGCTGCTTTCTTTTCTTCCCAATAGTCCACAATCAACCAGAAACTGCTCAGGAATGATGCCAGTCTCAGCACAGGAGTAGCTTCACCCCATCCCAGGGCTCACCTGTCTCATGCTGTAGGCAAAGAGGAAGCCCATGTTGTACTGAACTTCCTGAAGCAAAGACATGGTCTGGAAGTGATCTTCCTCCGTCTCACCACAAAAGCCAGCAATGAAATCACTGCTGAGGCTCACATCTGTCACACACAACAAAGGACAGCATGTCACTGCTGCTTACCTTCAACAGAGGCCTTTGGCACTTGTGGGTCCCAGAAGGAGGGACAGTAACTGTAAGGCCTTCCCTGGAGCTGCTCAACCCATGTGCAAGTGAAAGAGAAGTCATTATAGGACAAGAGGGGAAAGGCCTGCTCATGAACAGTGTTCTCATGCCAGAGCCCGGCTTCTCAGTCTACATTTCCTTCAGCACCAGAAAAGGTATTTTTCACTTCACATGTTGGATTTAGGGACATAGTTGGAGCCCATTTTTTTCAACTTTGTCCTGTTTTTACTGGTGAAGACCTTATAGTACCTCATACAAACATATACTTTTGAAGTTAAATACAATTGTTCTAACACACTTTATTTAATTATCCCAACAATCCAAGGAGGTGAGTACTACTAACTCCATGTAATAGATGAGGAAACCGCAGCCCAAGCACTACCCCTGCCCCATCCACATGAAAGTATCTGTGCACAATGCAAGTTACAATAATCAGAAATTCATTTAAAAAAATAAAGTAGACCCCGCCAACAAATCTAAACTAAAAGACTACAGAGTAATTTTATTAGGAGGAAGGGAAAAGAGAAAAGGGAGTAAAGGTTATGATAATAGGAAAGGAAATTACCTCTAAGTACACATTTTTAAAAATATCAATTGCCCCCAAATCAGAACTGGGGGGAGCATACAGCTCAATGGTAGAACGTGTGC